TATGAGTAACCTATCTTTTGATATAATATTTCTTGCGCTTTTTTAACTGCATGTTCGTAAGCACGCTTATAAGCTTTCTGTGGGATATCATTATCTTGAAAGTAACACCATTCACTATAATATTCTCTTTTACAAATCCCTCAAGCCATGACTTGCCTTGTTTTGAGCGTAGTCATCAATTTGCTTATATTTCTCATCTGAGTCTTCGATTCGCATGATTTGACTTGAGGGTTCTGGCTCATACTTCTTGTTATACATGATAAATCAGGCACAGAGGCCAATAATAGTTTTTTTGAAATAATGGTATAAATCTAGTTCCTTCCCTAATTCCTTAGCTACATCGGCGAATTCCATTTTTTCACCTTTAGTTAGCATTAATTTTCTACCATGTAAATCAAAAGTGTTTTCAAGGTAAGACACTACATAACTAAAGCGCTCACCTGGTACTAGAATCTTACTATTGTATTTTCCTCTCATTCGACTTATAAACTGCTGAATGGCTTTGTTATCTACATCAGGTTTCCATGCATCGGTCTCTATAAACTGCTCGAAATCCCATTGCTTGGGATTAGTTATGGCATCCCTGAGAACGTCTTCAACAATTTCATGGAGGGAACGCTTATTATTGACATCCCTGACTTCATTCATAATCCGTTCACCTATAATCTTAAATAGCTGGGATTTGCCTTGTTTCATAGTATCAATTCCTCTAATGAAGGATTTCTTCAGACTGAAGTTTACTGTATCTTCATGAGGAGTGCCAAAATATTTTTTCTTCCCAGTAAACACTACTGGGAATAATACTTCTTCATAAGCCATCTTAAGATAATCTGATCTAGTTTTTAGTCTAAGAAAAGTGTTTACTTCATTGCGTAATTTCTCCATTATGATCATAGTAATCTTAACCATTTTGGTCCAGTACTCTAGCTTCGAGATTGTGCCTTTCCCGTCATTGTAGGCTAAATCACATTCCTCATAACAAGAATCTGGACAAGTGAGATATAGGGAATCAGTATCACCATATTTATCCCAAAACCTTTTTTTTTCACGAATTCTGCAACGAGTTTGATATTTTCTCGTCCAGCTAAAGTAACACCTCCAGCGAGTTCTATAAACTTGAACGGGAAATCGCTATTGCCCATCTCACCATAAAATAAATTCATAAACAATTTAATCGTTTTCTGCTTCGAATTCAAAGAATTATGGTCGAAACAGACGGAATCATATTCTTTACTGAAACTATCGTATGATGAACCAATAAAAGAATTCAGGATATCAGTCATTTCAGCATGCTTCTTCTTATCTATTATCGAGGATAAAACATTTTCGATTGCGCTCGCCACCGAAAAAGATCCACTGATGCTAATCGAATCCATTCTACTTTTAACTTTCCCCATATAATCCTTTTTCTTTCTGAGAAGTTTTAACTGGGTCTTTACTCTATTCCGCATATTAAGCAAATTTTTTAATATTTTTGGAAACAGACCTTTCTAATCAGATTTATTCTCGTGCCATATGGTCCATGCTCGTACGTCTCGACTATTAAAGCGAAATTCAATATTGTGGAGTACTTTGTTCTCTCTTTTTAGTGCATCCACTTCTGAAAGTCTTGTAACCATCTTTTCTGGCGAGAGATTATAGTTTATAATTATGCTAGAGTACAAGGAAGCAAAGTCCAAACCCGTCACAGGACGTTTATTCTCAAGACCTTTCTCAGGAGAGAAAACATATGCTCCCAGATATTTCTCAGATTCTTTCTGCTCAGAAGCTTTCATGGTAAATAGAATATTCTGCGCCCATGCTTCAGCGCCTAAGAGATTACATACTTTCTTTCCTATGGCGTAATAATACATGTCAAATAAAGTTATATATGCGATCGAAGTGACTTCTCTATAATTATTTATAATATTATATTTGATCATGAACTCCTGACAACGTAAAGCATCTATAACACAATAATTTACGATTTTATGCATATTTTGGTTGCTAGAGGCAACCGAAGTTCCATCTTTAGCCTCTGAATAATACTTCTATAATTTACTCATAGGCATATCAGCTTTACCATCGAGACCACATTCTTCTAAGAAGTATTTGAGTAATGTTTTCTCAGAGCGGGGGTGGAGTTGCATAAAACTTAGGCGAACATCGATAAGTACACATCCTAGGAGCTTAAGAAAGGAGGATTCGAACTTCAAAGTTGGGTTGATTTTGATATCAATGGAATCTCGGCCTAATGGTTTTTTGGAACCCTTGTCTGCTTTCTTTACCCATTGGCTCCTTTGGAAGAAACCATTAGTTAGTGGCTTTTCTTTTTCACCAAAATAATTCCAAGTAAGAATGGATTCAGCATCAGCTTTCTTATGCGGGTTTGCCGACATTCGCTGAACTATCCACTTGAGAACATTTAATTTGGTGGCCTTTTCTACAATGAAAGGCTAATCGTATTCTGAATCGTTAAAACCGAGATGGATATCTGAGGCAAAAGATTTTCAACATAAAGCGAATGCCTTTAAGAGATTGGTCTGATTCTCGCATATGATTGTAATCTAGCGTGGATCTGGTTTTGTTTCTACATCAACTAAACATATTCTCTCTAGAGGAATTGGGTCGTCTTTCCAGTGTAAGGTCATACAGATCGTAAAAATTTGAGCTGTTTTGTTTTTAGCTTCTGGGGCTTTATTACCTAATCCGCGTGAATCGTGTGTTTTTATATCTCATGTTAGAACCAATGCTCGATCATGGGTAAAGAGAAAAGATGGATAGATTTTGTAAAGTGGTTTGAAATTCTCTATAGGACGAAAGTTTTCAATGTAGACATAAAATGCATGTGGACAATGTTGAGATTTTGCATAATAAGGTGCACTGAAATTATATCTATAATCGCTCACTAAGCTCTACCCAGAAAGTGGTATCTTATACTTTCTTGCAACTTTACGATAATATGTGCCTATATCATCTGAAGCGGTCTCTATCCTATTTTCTTGATCGGTCTCTGAATTATATCTTGAGATAATATCAAGAGCGGTAAATCTTAGGTCTTTATTTGGCGTAGTAATGTGAAGATACGGCTTTTTTTCTGCATGATAACCACGGATAGGATATGCCTTTATACATTCCATCTGGATTAGATTCATGTTTACAGTCTTCCCATTGTTGTCTTTTCCAGTAGCAAGAATACCTTTTATTTTGGACCAGAATTTAGGAATACTTGCATTATCGGGAACACGAATATTGAAAAATACCTTGATACCAGTAATGGTGACAACTGCTTTCTGGCCATTAATGAGATATCCATAGAGGCGAAGAATATAATGGGGAATTTGATTAATATATTCTTTAGCTTCTTCTATGTCGACCGGCATGAATGGGATATCTCGATGATTTGCTATCT